GCTTTCTGTTTCTTTCTCCAACTCTTTCATTCATTCTTTCCACCCCCTCTCTATTTCTCTCTTAGACAAATACCATATCATTATCAATATTTGTTTTTACCCCTTTTATTTTTGACAGTCTCATTTAATGTTAATAAAAAGTAAATTTGCATGTTTTCCAATAAAAATGTGTGCGTAATATTTGTTTGTGTCTTGCAGCTCTCAAACATCTGACATTTATTCAATGTGGCTATTACATTAAGCAAGTTTGGCCACCCCGGAACAGAGGGTCCAATTCTACAGACCCAAGAAGGAGGTGCCCCCATCCATTGTTTCCAATAGAGGGGAAAATGCTTGTGAGCTGGAAGCTAAACTCCTTGAGCAGCCAGCCTAAATTCTGTACACTAGCTCCCCCTAGCACAGCTTACAAGGAATACCACATTTTGACATTATCCTAGCCTCAAAGGGAGGAATTTGTCCCTTAAATGGTCAGGATTTCGGTGTGTTTGTCATTGACACTGATGCAGATACTTTTGATCCCTGCAAATACCTTTTTTGTCATCTTCTGGGCATGGAACAGAGGTCACTGGGGGTGTGTTGTCGTTCGACTCTTCACAACCCCGTGTACCACATCATGCCAGGCCCTCTTCCACCATCCTTCGGAGTTTGCTTAAATTTAGGTTTGTTGCATTGATAACAGATAATATGATTTAGAGATGAAAGCAGTGGAAAGTTACTAACTTCAGCTCTTAGTATGCATGTATAAAAGTATAAGTATGCCACTCACCCTGAAAACGTATGTGATCTCTTGCAGACTTGGGTTTCTGTAATCACCTATCTGCCTGGCAAACAAATCTTTAAACTTGTTACCTGGTTCTCTGTCTATACTAGAATTTCAGAAAGAAAACAAACCAATGTGACTTCCACGACAACCTGTAGCTTTAAGGAATGGATTCCATTGGGACCGGTTGCTAGGCAACCACAGCATTCTACACTGGTTTTCTGTGAGTAAAAGTCAGGGGGCACATTCCTTTTCAGGGCTGTTTTGGCCTTGCCAGGGTTGCCAATTCCAGGTTGGGGAATTCCTGGAGATTTGGGGGTTGAGCCTTGGAGAGGGCGGGGCTTGGGGAGATGAGGAGCCACAGCCAGACATGATTTTATTTACCTATGCCATTTTTAGTCTGCCATTCTCCCTTGGAATCAAGGCAGATGACACAAAGTGAGTCAATGCAATCAACGAGATGGAGCATTCAAGAAACAACACAAAAGGATTAGGGTTGTTGAACCAATCAGAAATCGAAAACTAGGACTGCAGCAAAGCATAAGCCTTAACATGAGACAATAAATAAGACACAGATTACATATTTGAATAACTCAGTTTTTCATACTCTGCAGAAAGCCAGGAGAGTGGGAGCAGTCCTGATTTCCTCAGGTACGCCATTCCTTAACGTGGGGGCCACAGCAGAGAAGGCACAGGTATGGGTGGTTGATTTTTGCCCATTTGCAGGTTGGTGCCTGCAGAAGACCTCGCTCCGAAGAGTGAAGCTGTTGTGGCGGCACAGAGGCAGTCTGGCAAATATGAGGATCCAAGGCCATGAAGAAGAAGAGATTGGATTTATACCCCGCCCTTCACTCGGAGTCTCAGAGCGGCTTGCAAACTCCTTTCCCTTCCCTTCCCCACAACAGACAACCTGGGAGGTAGGTGGGGCTCAGAGACCTCTGACAGAAAATGCTCATTTTCAAGAACAGACGTGCCAGAAATTGTGACTGACCCAAGGTCACATCAGCAGGTGCAAGTGGAGGAGTGGGGGAATCAAACCCGGTTCTCCCAGATTAGAGTCTGCGCACTTCACCACGACACCAAACGGGCTTTCTGTGTAAGAGCCAATACTTCAGATTGAGCCCCGTAACTGATGGGCAGCCAGTGGAGTGACTGTAGGATGGGAATCATCTGCACGCTCCATCTGGCCCCCAATAATAGCTGAGCCTCGGCGTTCTGCACCAGCTGAGGTTTCTGAATTGGTTTTGAGGACAGAGCAACAAAGTTTGGGTCCAGTGGCGCCTTTAAGGCAAAGTTTTATTCTGGGTATAAACTTTCGTGTGCACGCACACGTCTTCTACCCGAACAAGAGCTTATACCCAGAATAAAACTTTGTTGGTCCTAAAGGTGCCACTGGACTCAATATTTGTTCTTCTGCTTGGGACAAACACGGCAGCCCACCTGAATCTATGGACAGCGCGTTACAACAGTCTATTCTGGATGACACTGGGGCGTCGATCCAGGTGGCCACAGATCAGCCGGATCAAGGTAAGGGGCCATCTTCTGGGCAGGGCCGAGTTGGGAGGAAGCATCATTTGTAGCTGCGTGAACTTGCTTCTGCAGGAATAATCTTGGATCTAGTATATACCCCCAATTCTCTTAACTGAGTCAGCAAGGGTCAGCTGAACACCGTCAGATGTGGGGAGCAGAATGTTCTTTGAGATCCCCACCTTCCTCACCAACATCTTTTCAGGGAATAGTTACAGTTTCACCCAGGGCTGGCTGCTTGATCCCGATCAACAGCAGCCACCCTATGAGAGCCAGTGTGGCTTCTCAGTTACAGCGTGAGAGAAGGGTCTCAGAGACCACCCAGGTTCAAATTCCCCTCCTGCTGTGGAATCCCACTGGCTGATTCTGGGCCAGGCATGTTGCTTTGGTCCTCATTGAGGAGGAAGGCAGGGTATAAAGGAAGTAAATCTATATATATATAAAATAAAGTCCCCTCACCATAAAACCAACGCCCTGGCCAAACCACTGGACCTAGAGACACCAAATTCGGGGAGAACACTCACTAAGAAGGGATTTTTAGAAATCCAACCCCTAAGTGGGTCAAAAGGGGTACAAT